TTCATTCCAACAGCATAGTTTTTTCACAGTCATGGGGGGGTGGGGTGGGCGGGTGGAGGTGGTAGAGAGCATAGAGGGGATAAAAGGTGATGGAAAAAAATAAAATTAAATTAAAATTCATGTAAAAATATAATATTTATTCTATTTAAGAAAATACTGTATTTGTAAAAATACCCTAAAAAATCAGTGATCCTCAAACAAATAAAAAATTCTGTTACTCATTTTTGCAGAACAAAGGAAGAGATCACAAGCCTGGAACTTTACCTGGGACTTAAGCACTAATAAATCTTGTTCTTCATCCCCTGAATGTTTCCAAAGGACCCCTCAGATAGGATGAGAATGCTTCCTTAAACATTCTTTCCTTTCCAACACGCCGAGCTCAAACGGTTCGCCATCACTGGTCTAGTCCTACTATTCAGTTAAAATGCTGACTCTTAATTTGCATGTTTATATGCTAATAGTATTCTATTTACTTCCTGAGGAAAAGTTTATCAATTTTAACAGTGTTCAGCAATCACTCTTAATTTAATGGCCCATTCTCCTTCATGCACATTTCCCTTCATAAATGGGCAATACTGAAAGTTACATTGGGATGCAATAAAATAAACTTAATTTTCCATAGTCCTACTATTCAGTTAAAATGCTGACTCTTAATTTGCATGTTTATATGCTAATAGTATTCTATTTACTTCCTGAGGAAAAGTTTATCAATTTTAACAGTGTTCAGCAATTACTCTTAATTTGATGGCCCGCTCTCCTTCATGCATGTTTCCCTTCATAAATGGGCAATACTGGGATGCAATAAAATAAACTTTATTTTCCACTTGCTTTTATAATTCTATTTCAAATGAATAAAACCATGGCTGCCAATAACAGGCATTATCACAATTCCAAACTTAGTACAAGAACATTACCTGGAGATAGTATTTCTTCTCTTTAGCCACAGAGACAAAAGGCAGAATAAACAAAGCTTTCTTCCGCATTTCCAAAACCCGCTTCAAA